TTTTCTTGTTTTGAGACAGGTCTCATGTATCCCAGGCAGGCCTCAAAGCTGCTCTTTGGTAGAGGATGACCTTGAACCTCTGATCCTCTTATCTCCAGCTCCCAAAGTCCAGGATTACAAGCATGCACCACCACACAGTGTATGCAGTGTCAGATATCTAAGCCAGGGTTTTGTGCATACGAGGCAAGCACTCTGCCAACTGAGCTGCAATCCTTGCCCCTACATTTCATCTTGAGAAGAAGACAAATCTTCACCAGGAAAGGCCATGGTACTTTAAGCTTTCACAGCAGCCAGTAAATGGCTGGATGGAGACACAAGCCCAGCCTTAAGTGTTTTGGATTTATGTAAACTAAGGAACACTAATCTCTTGCACACACCAACTTAAATAAATGAGACTATAGCTAGAGTCAGGTCTGACTTGGAATCCCTACCTCTTTAGGTCACTATGTATTCCAGACAATACAAATGAAAAAAATTTTTTTGATTTTTTTTTGTGTATTTCATACAGAACATCCCAAACAATCTTAATCAAAAATATGGAATGCTTCATAAATTTCCATGTCATCCTTGCACAAAGGCCATGCTAATCTCTGTATCATTCCCATTTTAGTGTATGTGCTATTGAAGCAAGCACAATACAGATTTTTTAAGGTGTTAATTTAGTAACTTGTTCTAATTCTCATTTTAGTGACAAGGTTCTTTGATTCTTCCTTTTAAAAAGTCATTCTTGCCTGACACAGTGGTACAACTTGGAGTCCTAGCTACTCAGGAGGTTTAGCAGGAGGATTACTTGAGCCCAAGAGTTCAAGATCAGCCTTGGCAACATAGTGAGACCCCATATCAAAAAGTCATTATGGATGAAGACCTTTTGCACAGGCCTTTTCTGGACAGGGAAAGTTCTTGGGAATAGCTAATGCTTTACTCAAACCGTGAGTCCCCAGAAAGGCTCTGAATTGAGGGCATCAACACTCAAGCCTTTAAACACTGCTTTATAGATAGCAAGGAAAGTAGACAACCTTCTGTCCTATATTCCAATGTAGAAAGCTTTCCCCTGCCAAATTTCCCCCACAGAAGCAGATGGGCTACAGGAGGCTTCAGAGCCATAGCCCATAGGTCAGCATGGCCTGTGGGAACCCAGGACCAACTGGAGAGGGTGATTATCTGGTTGCAATTGATTAAAGCAAGGATGAGTTGCTCTTTTGGAGATTTTCAAGTCCATTAGTGAGAAATGGAGAGAAGTTGGCTTTCTTTGGGGAAATGATAATATCAGTTTAGAAGATTTTATTTTATTTTTTTCATTATCATGAAAGCCAGATTATAGACTCATCTCACATTATCAGTCTACGGTGCTCTTACCAAAATCCTATTAATCCTTTCAATCTGTTATTGTAGAATTAACCCCACAGCAGCAGGAACAACAGTAGTGGCTTTTTCTTCATCTGGTAGTCTAGTGTTCAATAGAAAAAAATTATATAATCAACATTTTTCAAAGAAATCATCATTGAACATGGCTAATGCTATGTTATTTGGAACTTGACATCGATATCCAAGCTTCTTGTGGATTTATGTATCAGAGAACAAAAGCCTGTATGCAGCTCTTGTGAAAACCTGTTCCCTATTGAGCACTCACTTTTTCAATTCTTGCCTCTCCACAGGGTGTAAAGGAGCATAAATGTGGGATTTGTGGGCGTGAGTTCACCCTGCTGGCCAACATGAAGAGACATGTGTTGATCCACACCAACATCCGTGCCTACCAGTGTCACCTCTGTTACAAGAGCTTTGTGCAGAAGCAGACCCTCAAGGCACACATGATCGTCCACTCCGATGTGAAGCCTTTCAAATGCAAGGTGGGACTAAAGGGAGGACTCTAGGGCCTAAGCAAATACTTGACAGGCAAGATCCAGGGAGCCTTCTACTCTGTTTCTTCAGTGGACTACTGAGTCTCGGAATAGGTCCTTGACCCACCCTCCCTTCTTGTCCCTTTTTCTACTTCATATGTGTTCACAGTAGTCCTTAGCTGGCCCTGTTTATGACAATGTTCCATCAGTGCTTAGGGGGTTGAGGTAAGCAGTTGAAAAGCCTGAGCTCGGAAGGCCCATTGTAGAATGGTTTGGTAGAGGATGAAGGTACTGGGGGACGGGGGTTGGGATTCCTGCTCTAGAGTGGAAAAACCAGGCATAGCCCTGTTCCCCTTACAAATCAATATGGAGGCACAAAAAGAAATCAGAAAATTTAGCACAGTCCTCTGTCCCTTTCTTTCCTTCCTTCATCTCCTCTTGACACTTGGGTCGAACCTTAGAATTTAAAGGCAAGCATCCCAAAGGGAATTCTGGCATGTTGACTTCCCTTCCTTTGGATACAGACTCAGTGGTTAGATTGCTGGTTCTTATGACAGCTGCAGCAACATTCACAATCATCAAGATGTGGAACCAACCTAGGTACCCAACAAAGGATGAACAGATGAAGAAAACATGACATATATACACAACGGAGTACTATACAGCCATAAAAGGAACAAAATCCTGGCATCTGTGCCAAACATGGATGGAGGCCGTACTGGAGGACATTAGGTTAAGTGAAATAAGTCAAGCACAGAGATAAATACCACATGTTCTCACTCATATGCAGAAGCTAAGTAAGTTGACCTCAAAGAAGCAGAGCTTAAAATGGTGGTTACCAGAGGCAGGGAAGGGAAGGCTAGAGAGGAGACAGAGGATAGTGACGGGGTGTACGAATAAGTTCTAGTGTGACTAGTTAACAAGACTTTATTGTGTGTTCCAAAGTAGCCTGAAGGAAAGATTTTGAGTATTCCAAATATGAAGAAACAGGTCTGAGGTGATGAGTATACTAACTACCCTGATGTGATCATCACACATTCTATACACGAATCTAAATATGACAGCATACCCAACAAGTATATACAGTTACTATGTGACAATTCAAAATATTCTAAGCAACAGAAAAAAGAAAAGGATTCCAAAGCTAGCCCTTCAAAGATCCTGAGAAATGCCTGCCTGAGCTGAGGAAGAACTGTGAACACAGCCTTTCAAGTACTTTTCCTTTATTCCTAAGCACCATGTGACCCAGGGACTAAGCACCTTTGTTCAAATTTATGTGTCAGATTACTTTAGTTAGATTCTTATTTCATCGGCTGAGAAAAATGTGTGAGTTAGAGATCTGTAAAGTCCAAGGTCCTGACTGGCGTTACTCATAAGAGCATGACTGTTTGAGGCTGCCCCACCCCAGCGCTGCTTCCTTCTGCACTTCTAAAAGCAGCAGGAAGGTTACTCATGCCTGGATAGTTTGAAGACTACAGGGATGGGTGTCATCCCAGTCAGGAAGAGTGGGCAGGGGGACAAAAGGGAGATCTTTCACTCAGACATCAGTGAAGCATGTCTATGTGAAATTCCAGGTTTCCTTTTCTGTGACTGTACATGGGCTGGGGTGTGGATGACACACTTTGTGCCACCATATCCCTGAAATTGCACTCCCTCCTTCCAGGGGAGGTTGCTGCTTTCATCCCTCGGCAGCATGACCCCCACCTGAAGGAACCCCCTGTGAAGTTAACTTCTTTCCTGTGTTGGCAACTTCTCAATGGGGTGAGGGGTCAGGAACCAGATCTTCCCTAGTCTGTGTGGGCATTGTCCAAAGGCCAGAGAGGGGGCCTTCTCCCCCCAGTCCTTTCCTGCCACCCACTTCTGTTTCCCCTTCTTTTCTCCAAGTTTTCAGTGATTTGAAAAGCCAATCTATGTCCATCTTGAGTCAGTGGCCTCGAGGAGTAAGAAGCAGCATGTTTGGAATGGGCTGCATCACTTTCAGGGCCCAAAGCAAAATGGAAACCCAAGGTCTGTTTACCTGGGATGAGCAATCTCAGGTGCAAGAAGAGCATTAAATCAAACCCAGGACCCTCCTGAAAGGGGAGCCCTGTGTTGAACACCTCAAAGTCATTGGGCTCCACAATGCACCTCTTCTCTGTCACCTCAGACACTTCACTATTTCCTTTCCCACTCCATCGAGCCCCTCAGTGCTTCCCCTTTGACAGCCATTCCCCCTGCAGAGATTTCCTGTCTCCTACAGTGGAGCACAGGCAGGCTCTCCTTTTTTCCATTCTTCATTTCATGTCGTTTTTCCTCTTGGACTTCCAGCATGAACTGTATTTTATCTAAAGGTGTTAGAGTATCAAAGGAGCCACATTCTAAAGAAATCCGTAAGTGGTCAGTCCAGCCATCTTTCACCTGCATCTCATCCACTCTGATCCTTCAGTAGAGGTATGGTCAGGCCAAAAAAAGGAGGAGGAGGAGGAGGAAGAGGAGGAGGAGGAGCCCCTGAAATGGAGGGATATGTCGGGGCAGAGCCAATATAAGCAGTGTGGGGCTTTGGGGGGGTGCATTCTGTGACAGTTATCTTCTCTAGCCTCAAAGACTTGTAAGATTTCCTGAGCCTGGCAATGCCTAAGGATCTAGAAAGTTCTTTGTGGTACCAGTGCACAGAAAACTGCATAGAGCAATGCAGCTGGGCCCAGTGCTGCAGTGAGCCATCCTAGATCAGTATTTCTGCCCTTTGTTCACAGACAACTTTGTCCTTCTTCACCTCAATGACAGTGCACCATACATAGTTACAAGGCCATGAGACAGCTTTATGGCTCAGAAACTCCATTTTGTCCCTTCCCTGAGGGTTAATTAGATTCTTGGTATCTGGCCCACCCACATCACTAGATCCCATAAAACAATGTGTAATACGTGGAATTCCAGCCTTGAAAAGATACACAGTTTATACTTCACAATGGGAACAGGAATTGGACTGCTCATCTAAACAGTGTGCATGTCCTCTCAAGAAGGCAGACTCTAGGTCTTCACATATAGAGTGTTGTCTCTTATTAGGAAAAACAAATTGGCAAATAAATAGCATTTGCAACAAATTTAGGTGACCCTTCTCCAATTCTTAGACATTTCTGAAACAACAGGTGTCAGTCATCTTTCTGCTTCAAAGTACCAGCAGGAGGCTGTCGGGTCCTTTCTCTCTCCATCCCTACCTCCATGCAAGGTGTCACCCTACTTAATATCCTTTTGGAACATCACTCCTCTTCATTTCAACAGACTTTCAGAGCATGTATGAATTAGAAGTCATATACGCTCCTTCATTTGTATGAAGAATGTATGTTGGATGTGCCATCTTGAGATAGTATCCTATGGACCTTGCTTCCTATCCATGTTGGGCTGGATGGAAATCTAGCCCTGAGTGAAGGTCATAGGGGCTGGGAGGGGATGAACGAGAGATGGAGGCCACTTGTTCATTGCTATGCAATTTATAACTAACCGAGACAAATCTCTGGCCAGCCATGTGGCAATGGTGGAGAACAAGCCTCAATAGCTACACCCACATTCATAACAGGGAATGTTATTCTCTTCTCATGATTGACATGGCTAGAAAAGAGGCAGGCCTTGCTGCTGCCACATGTCAACAGTTAGCTCTGTCTCCTTTGCCCCAAAACTTATAAGAAGATTCTTTTAGTAACAGATTCTAATTCCTTCAGATTCTCACCATTAAAATCTGCATGAATCCTTTCTCCTATTGCAGTGTGAAATAGCTCTCAGTTAAAACAGCTGTCCTCAGTGAGCAGAAATGCTCACTAGCTGTGGCATTAAGCGTTAACAATAGAATGGAAAATTAGGGGACACAGAAGATTTCCATTCTATGTTTCTTTTCATATATATATATATATATATATATATATATATATATATATATATATATATATATATATATATATATATATATATATATATATATATATATATATATATATATATATATATATATATATATATATATATATATATATATATATATATATATATATATATATATATATATATATATATATATATATATATATATATATATATACACTCTGGGCTCTTGCTATTGGCTTGACTTCTGAACTCCTAACTCCTGGGAGCCGGCTGGAATTTCTCCAGAGACCCGGCCTGTAGACTTAAGCCATGTTTCAGAAATATGCTTCCCAGATTCTGCGTCAGCACGCAGGTCTTCATTTGAATACCATCCTTGTAGCGACCACACTCCATAATAGCAAAGAACCAGCTGCTGTCTTTGGAAAACTTGTCCAGGAAAAGCCTCCATCCAGAATTTCCGGGACAAATTCTCTTTTGAGATGGGTGAAGCCGGGAGCTGCCTAAGTTATGAATCACCAGGTCATCTACCAGCCTTTTCTGCAGCAGAGGGCTGAAGGCTGGCAGGCAGCTCTTGGAAAAGGGGTGAGGTCACCTTCAAAAGGGGCTGAACTTGCTCTGTCAAAACTGATTCTCGGCTGTTTGATGCTCCTAAAGGAGAGAAAACAGACGGGGGCACTTTGCAGGGACCAATGCCTGGGGTTAGGGTTTTCAGGCTGGCATGGAGGGGGTTAAGGCAATGACCAGATAGCAGCCTTTTGGCAGCAAAGCCCTCCTCCTCGGCAGAAGGAAGGATATAGCTGTATGAACTGCCTGCTTAACAATGCCTCACATGTCCCCAGGGGCCCGCCTGCAAATAGATTTCATCTTGCTTTCTCTTGTACTTTTCAAAGCTTCCTGTTTTCTCACGGTCCTTTTGGACAGTTTACAGTCTCTCTCTCCTCCCTCCCTCCCTCTCCCTTTGAGGAAAGGAACACCCTTCTTATTAAAGAAGAGAGCGAGAAGAATGCAAGGGAAGGGCAGTTGAGCAGAGGCCATTCTCCTGGGCTTGCTGCCGACTGCAGCTCTTTGACCTTTCCTCTCCGGATAGGAAAACGCGGCTTCCTGGGGCATCTGGGCTCTGAAGCTCACCTCAGGCAGCTGGAGGGAGGTTCAGT